TCCCGCAGCACGCCGGAGTAGGAGTTCCAAAACACCTCCCTTGCCATATCATGAGGCCATGAAAGGAGGAACAAAACAGGCAATGTTTCTTGAATAAACTCTGCCCGTGTGTCCTCAGCGGCCAGGGTTAATTCGCTTTTATTAAGCCGTTTATCACGCTGGTTTTTGTCCTGATGTGCCCAGTTCGTGCTTCCTATAACGAACAGTGCCTGGAGGGCATCCCCGCCAGGGCAGAGGCATCTCCAGCCTGAGTATTGCCTGGTACCGAGGTAGTGGGATGTTTCCCCCACGGTTTGCCACCACCCTGGCTCTGTCCAGCCACCACCAGCCTGCCCCGAGGTCTGATGGTCACTCCAAAAGCACAAATTTTGCTGCTGCAGGGCAGGGATATTTGCACTGTGCTTGGACAGTCAGATCCTTAGGGACCACATTAAACTAGAGATAAAGAAACATCTCCAGAGTCACAGTGAGAAGTCTGTAGTGAACCAGGGTCGGAATTAAGCTCTGCTGACTCTCAGCCTGTTCGTTTGGCCACGTCCGTCCCTCCTCATGTACCAGGCCCACTCTTTGAAGTGGTGACTGTGGGCAGTTTATCCGAGGTGGGGGTTTGATGCAGGCTCTGCTTTGTACCTCTTGTGTGTTGCAAAGTGTCTTATCTTGAATGCCTGTTGATTTGAGGCTAAAGACATTTCCTCTTAGTGTATGAGAAAATTTCCTCCTTTTCCTGCTGCTGTTCTGCTTTACTTTACTGGAAGTCCTCCAGGTTGCAGGATCAGGCCCCTGAAGCCTGCAGCTCTATGTCAGATCTGTGTGGCCTGAGAAGACAGTGACTCAGTGGGCAGCACTGATGATTCACTGGGGCCACAGACCCCCAGGAAGCTGTCATGGTCTGGGGAAAGATCCTTGGCACAGTGGGGATATAAATCACCCTGAAGCACTGGGCTCTGATTAAGAGAAAGGGTCCTTTGTAGGTCTCTAGTACCAACTTTGCAAATAATCGGCTGTAAATCCACCAGAAAAAAGTCTCCTCGAAGTTCTCCCTTACATTCCTGTTCTCCCTAGGCATGGGGAGCTGGGAGGAGGTGTTGGCTACTTAAGTGCTAAGATGGTCTCATGCAATGACCAGATATGAGGAGGTCACCCCTACCCCACCAGATCACCAAGTGTCCTGGGGATCTGGCCCCAGGCAGGGCAGCTAGTACAGAGCCCATTGCATGTCCTGTTCCTTCCCTCACTTTCTGGCTTTCAGGGTTTAAGTGTCTCATCTTTCATCTGTGTAGGTGAAGTTTCATTCTGGGTGAGCTCAGCCCCAGCATGGTGTGGGGGGGCAGTAACAGCTTGCAGAAAGATAAAATAACTGATCCTCCCTTGGTGCTGATAATGATTCTATTACTTATTGATTAAAAGGGCAACACAGCTCTCTGTGATGAGCAACCTAGTATTTGCAGAAATGACCTCAGGGAAGCTAGGTTGAGTGGGGAGGGGGAAGAGAGGAGATTGCTGGAGGACAGGATGAGCAGATGACTCACTGTAAGAATGGCCTGCAAATATCCTGATCCCCAAGGCTTGTAATTAACCGTTCACCAGCTGCATGTATTAGCTGCCCCAGAGACATGAGACATGCATGTCTGTTCGAACACACACGCTGATTTGGCTGATTTCTGTGTTCATTCAAGAGTAAAAACAACTACATGGAGTGTAAATGGGGATAATGGCTATTTATATAAACTGCACATATTTTTCCTATGTGATGGCCGTGGCTGGGGTGTTCCGGGGGAGATAAGGTCAGCTATGCAAAACAAGAGGATTTAAAAGTCCACCCCATGAAGGGCAGCTGGAGATGAGGAGAGCAGAGGAATCTGTAAAGCTGCTTGTGTTTGTTGGCTTTTCACACTATGAGTTGTTAGGGATATAGTTTTATCAACCCAGTTGTTGTGGATATCATTTTATCAAACACCACCCCACACATACATGGTCTCCACAGTCACTTGAATACTTGACCCACTGTCTCGCGCTGTGAGTTCTGGGGTGAGCTGGCAGAATGTTGCTGGGGTAGGAGGAAAGGTGCAGGTGTTGAGTGCCAGTTGACTGTAAGATCATTCTCCTGCCCTCTGTCATGGAAAACAGACTTTCATCATGTTTAGTGGGCTCTGGATCATGCTGGCCACTTGCAACACGAGGACCCTACAAAAATGAGTAGGCGAGCACGTCATGAATTTGAGCACACATTTGCTTAAACATTGCAAACAAATGAGACACTAGCATTACAGAGCTGAAATGTCAGAGGTAGCTGTACCGGGCAGCCCTGGCAGCGAGGGTGGTGGGGGCCCTGCGGCTGCTCTGATCTTCAGCGCTTCCTTTGTTTCGAAATCCTTCTTTGCACCAGGGCACACACACCGACACTGCTTATCAGGGATTTGAGCACACATTTGCTTAAACATTGCAAACAAATGAGACACTAGCATTACAGAGCTGAAATGTCAGAGGTAGCTGTACCGGGCAGCCCTGGCAGCGAGGGTGGTGGGGGCCCTGCGGCTGCTCTGATCTTCAGCGCTTCCTTTGTTTCGAAATCCTTCTTTGCACCAGGGCACACACACCGACACTGCTTATCAGGGCGAAACAGTTGCAGGTGAATGAATTGCATTGCAGGGTTTGCTTTCCAAGCTGTGTTTACTTGAGGGCCACACTCTGAACCATTATTGAATGTAGCTGTTCATGGGCCTTCGCCATTCATTTCTGCTCTGAAAAAGCACAAGTGGCAGACATGTGGCACGCCACTGACGTTTCCAGGCTGCTTCTGCTACCTGACTTATCCACGTTCATTTTGGAGATTGTGTGCTTCCATGCAGGATATTCCCAACCTGGAAACAGGCAACGATTTAGCTGACGACAAACTTTGAGTAACAATGTAATAATAGGATTAATTCCTTTTCATTAGCAGTGCATTGAATGAAATGAACAAAGTACTTAACCATGCAGAATAGCTCATGTGGGGCTATTCAGTTGTCAAATGCTGTCACAGGATTTCATTAAGTTTTATAGCTGTTATTTAATAGATTGGTTTCAGTGGGACCATCTTCATTACTTCGCTGTCTCGTGCATTGTGGTGATTAATGAAACAGTTGCAAACATCCTCCTCTTGTGTTTACGTCCATTCAAAAATGAAAATAAAATATTTTGTACGTTGTCACAGCATATTTAGTAATGACAGATTTAGAAAAAATGACTCCTGAGTACAGAAATATCTGTCTCAAACACTGGAAATAGTGCTCATATATAAACCCTGTGGGGAGGGAGTTTAGTACCCAGTGTATTGGAATAATGGTTGCAAGGCTCAACAGAATTACATTTGCTAACAGTTTTAATCTAGATTCACTGGCTTTTGGCAAGTTAGTAATTGTCAGTGGTATCAGAGGTTTTTCCTTGGGTGACCAAAGCATTTTAAACAAACCCATTTCCCCAGGGGAGCCCTATCCCTCATCAACCCTCCCCCGGAGCGCAGGACTGTGCAACGCTATCCCACTGCATTGCAAACACTGGAGCTTCATTTCTCCTCCACTTTAATTAAACCGGTTCTTGGGAGGGCAAACATTTATATCTTTTTTTTTTTCCCTAGGGGGATATGAAACCTTTAACTCGCAATATCCTGAGTGCTGTGTGGATGGAAAACTCATCTCCCCAGAGAGGACCGAGGCAGAGAGAAACCTTGCCAACCACTGTGAGAAGCAGAGTGCCAACCACAAACCCGCTTATGACCAGGTATGTGTCATGGCTCTGGTGGGTGACCTTCCCCTCGGGTCCTCTCCCTCCTGCCACCAGGCTCTGTTGGAGGCTGGCAGGGTGCCAGTGGCCCTGGTGCTGGTGTGGGCTGTCAATAAGTTGTCACAGTCCAGGCTGACAGCCTGTGTGCTGAATAAGTTGCCCTGTGTCTGCTGCTGGTCAGCATTGCCTCCACTTGGCTTCAAAATTAGGCAACAGAAGGAGGCAAAACACCCTTATCTAGCCCCAAAATTGTATTTATGAACTGTCTTTATCACACATCCAAGCAGCATGAGCCGTCAGCAGCTCACACCTCCTCAGGAGACTGAAAATGGGCAGGGGAGAGGCTGCCAGGAATGTCATTTTTCTGGCAGACAAAGGAGCACACTTTGCCTGTGCTTCCTCTGAGATTCCAAGAGGGCTCTGAAGCTGGCAAAGGGGCCAGGGCCATGTGGCTGACACTGAAATGAGGCAATGGCTCGAGAGCCACAATCAGGCAGGGGAAGTGGGGTTTCCACGGGGGAAGTCATCATGTGCCCACCCAGCCCGGGGAATATGTGTGTTCTGAGAAGTCACCCTGCGGTCAGGATGCTTCCGCCAGGGCATGCTGGGGGGAGTCCCCGCGTGATGCCCCTCTGCTCTCCTGGGAGCACCTCCCACACCAGGCATCCTCCTGCTACCCTGGGTGGCTCTCAGCTGTCCCTGATGCATGGCACCTGCTGTGTGGGCAGCTCAGGGGGGTGGAAACCCAGTTTCTCACAGCTGGGGGCTGGCAGGAGCTCTTGTGCATCATGGAAAGTTACCTGCGATCTCCAAACGAACCCTTGTGTCAGGCGGTGGCTTTTTTTCTTTCGCGGTCTCGTCACTCAGCCTTTGTGTGTGCTGAGGAAGGAGGAACTGAGATGACATCTCGGGGTGGGTGACGCAGTGGGTACTGCGCCCCAGAGAGGTGTGGTGCAAAGGGGGATGGGGAGCCTAGATCCAGATTTTTTTCCTTTGTTTCACCTTCGGATGTGTGACCAGAGGGACTAAGCTAAAGCAGCCTCTTCCTCTATTCTAACCTCCCTCCCTGCTGGGATGTGACTCCCTGCCTTGCCCATATTTCAGTAAAGCCTCAGCAG